AGACTATATACTAGTCCTTTTTCCTTGTGTATAACCATTGTAGGCTTCTTATATCAGAGGATAAAGCTATGAATTCACATTTCTAGGTCTCTTCCTAATCCACTCAACAGTTGATTGAAGGACAGGAGTGAGTAGATGGATGAATTGAACCCATTATACCCATGATTTAAAGAGACACAGTCCATTGATTTGGGAAGAATATAAAATATCCCCAAATAATATTTTCTAAAAGAATGAACGATGCCAAAAAGTTTACTAATTCAGTTTTAGAATAGAATTGGATTCCAGTTAAAGTGAAAATATTTTTCACAGCATTTTTAGCTCAGGAATTTGGGCAAAACTGGATTTTGATTTGTGTGCTTAGAAACTAATTTGCTGACTACCATGGTCTTTGGACATTGGATAGTAACCAGGATTATCTAGAATCTGTCTGGAGCTTAATCCTTTTTCTCCTCTGGTATTTACTAATAGAGCGATTGCTGAGGATGTTCTATGAATTGATCTTAATGTTTCCCTAGAGAGCTGTGTAGTTTTATGATCAATCACTGTGGTTTTAAAAAAAATAAGTTACACATTGAAGCACTGACCATTTTCTGAAATCCCTAACAACTTTGTGCTATATACTGTCCAGCTTTAGCTTAGAAGTTGTAAAGACTTTTGCTAATATGGATCTGATTGTCATGGTTTCTTATTGCAGAGAGACAACTTTCGGTGGATCCATGAACTCTGTGTCTGAACTGATTCACTATGTAGGATGGCTGTCCACCAATGCAATGCGCTTGGAAAGCAACAGCACTTTCTTGCTGCATTTTGTTTTGGATTTCTATGAGAAGGTAGTACACATCTCATTTTTACCCTAATATTTAGATTTTTCTGATGGCTTTCTGCTTTACTGGTCAGTTATTTAAATTTTATTTATATTCATTAAGTTGGGCTATAACTTTATTAGCATAATTCAAATAAACTTCATATTTTGAAGTTAATGATTGTATTCTCACTTGGATAACTGGCTTTCATAAAACAAAGTGGAAAAACAATGCCTTTTTTTCGAAAAGTCCAGATATCACTTTAATAGGCATTCTCCTGAATAATGTTGACCCTAGACAGAAGTCTGTCTCAAGCATCACTTTTTCCTCATTCCCAACCCCTGACAAAACCCAAAAGTACCTTGTTTCTTTAGCTCTCCACTTTACCTTTCTACATTTCTCTTAGCACCTATGATTCCGGTCTTCTTCCATTGTTTTATAGTGTTTGACCTGGACAAAACTATTATCCAGGAAGTAGCCACCAGTCTCAATTTTCCTGGCTTCTTCCCTTTCCCAGTACCTAGTTGTCTTGTGTTACATTTGCTTAGAGGCATGCTTCTAAGCTGTCTAGGTTGACAGCTAGCTAATATGATAAATCAATACTTATGAGACTTAAGGAGAAAGAAATGTTCCCTTTCTCTTTCTCCCCAAGTCTAAGATCTCTCTCAAGAAAAAAAGTGAGATTTTAATAATCTTCTAAAAATAATCCTCTATGGTAATAAGGTTGGTGTTTGGTGAGGTACATTTTAAGCAGACTTGTGGCCATGTATTTATGAATCAGGCACACCCCAACTTGACATTGTATTTATTGCTTATTCTCTACTGATAATTCTTTGGGTGAACACGGTTGAAAGATTCTGGGGAGTAATCAGTATACTGATGTTATCATTCTTCCCAAAAGGTATGTGACATATACATAAACTATAACATTCCGTTAGTGGTGTTATTTCCTCCTGGGATCTTCTATCTCGCACTCCTCAGTCTGGATTCCAGTATCCTGAACCAGCTCTGTTACATTATGCAGAGGTACAGTCTTTGTATTGTTTTATGATTTAATACATCATAATTTTATGTTCATTTTTCAACTATAAATTATAATTTGTAAATATACTAAAATAAATTTACTGTATATAATACAGTGAAAGATTAAACAATAAAATTATTATCCATTTCTTACCAGGGCCTTCGGAAATAGGAAACATGGCTTTTTTCAGGGGAATTACCTTCTAAGATGAGGCTATTTTAATTGTGTTTTTTTTAATGTCACAATGGGGGATATAGATTTAAAAAATTAATAGTTAAGAATCTTTTGTTCAGTGATACTGCTGCACTCAGCATTGTTAATTCTCATTGCTTTGTCTTAAAGAAAAATTAGTCATTTACTGACAACTGGTTTAGGTCTATGTAGCTTCTCTTGTGAAAAGAATATTTTCTGAGAGATTAGAGGATCTATTGCCAATTATATGAAATTGTAAGTATAATTTCTGATACCATCTACTTCTTTCACTTAAAGACTGAAATTCCTCTTTTAAGTACATAAGTATAGACTCTTTAGGCACAACTTGCAGGACTATGCCAAGGTTAAAATGTTTAAAAATTACTTTGATATAATAGTTCTCAGGCAAGAAAAAAGGATTGCATTTTTAAATTTCTTCCTTATCCTTTCTGTTGCATCTTTTTTCCACATTAAGAAAATATGTTCTGTATTAGTGACTGACTGCTTTTGAGCCTCTATTAATTATTTAATAATAAAATATTAAAAGCATTTTCTTCATTTTTTTACTTTTTTATTAAAGTATGTTTTACACACAGTTAAATGTACAACTCAATATTTGAGCCTCTAATGATTTTTATTCTTTGAGGATAATGTACCACAAAAGATTAAAAACCTTAACTAGACAGCTGGATATTTGCGTATGTGCACATCTGCATATATTTACATTCAAAATGTACACTTTTGTTTATATTTACATTTCAGAGACATTTAATGTTAAACATTCATTCTATTTGTTTTCCCTTTTAGATACCGTAAAAATTTGACAGCTGCAAAGAAAAATGAGTTGGTACTAAAGGTATGGACGACAAACCTCTGTGTTGTCATCATTGTTTAAAAATTGAGTGTAGATCTTTATGATCTGTTGGGAATAAGGAGGAAAGGGAGGATAGGCGATAATGACAATTTTTGTTCTTTCCCAATAGACAAAGTCAGAGTTCATATTTAGCAGCAAGACTTATCAAGAATATAATCACTATTTGACAGCCATGGTTGGTTGCTTGTGGACATCCAAACCCTTCCAGAAAGGATCATATATTGACTCCGAAGTCTTTAAAAAAGTTGGAGTAGCAAAGTATAAAAAGAGTTTAAATCTAGTTCATCACCCTGCTCTATTGAGTTATGCTGTTTCCTTTTTGCTACAGGTAAGAATATTTAAATGATTTTTAGATTTTATATAGGAATACTGGGATGGTAGAAGTAGGAAAAGCCATAAATTTAGTGTGTCTGCATTGCAAAACATGTGTTTAGTCATTCCTTTTTGAGTACCAGCTAAATTTTGGGCATTGTGGTAGAGTCAGTGACTCTAAGAAGAACTCACATGGTGTGCATATCAAATGTGTGGATGACACAACAAGATGGGATTACAAATACATTGATAGATTCCGGATTTAGAATTCCCTTAACAGACTGGAACATTGAGACATCTAAAAAATGGAGGGAAATGTACAGAATGAGGGAGATATTCATTGAATAAATGTTTAGTACATTCATGCAATGAACCAGACACTGTGGTCAACAAGACTCATCTGGGTATTGCCCTCATAGAGCTTACAGTCCAGTCAGGGAACAGTCATTAAACACATCTTAGAATAAAGAATGGTGAGTAATAAAGGGAGGGTACAGAGACTGATGAAAAATATACAAGGCTGCTATCCCAGTTCAAGCTCTATGAGTGATGTTAACTGGAATTTTAAAGGATGAACATGAGCTTGCCAAGACAGAGCAGTATTTGGCGAAAAGTGCAGATAGAAGAGGGGTCAGCAAACTATTTCTATAGAGGGCCAGACTGTAAATATTTTAGGCTTTCCATGCCAGTCTCTGTCAAGACTATCGAAGCTTGCCATTGTGGCATGAAAGCGGCCATAGACAGTGGGTAAATAAATGGGCATAGCTGTTTTCCAATAAAAGTTTCTTTCAAAAACAGGCATTGGACTGGATGTGGGCTGTGGACTGTGGTGTGCTGATGCTTGCAGTGTTGGAAGAACTTGAGTAGAATTGTAGAACTTGAGCAGGGATTCTACCCTGACTCAGCAGCAGCAGTACCCAGGGTGCCTTTCCAAAGTATACATCCTCCATTACTTCCCACTGAGATGCTGATTTAATAACTCTAGGGTGACATCCAGGACCTGCTTTTTTAATATAATTATTTTGATCTACAACAGGGATTGAGCCATTGGGCTATAGGCAATTTAGCATGTTAGGAGTTGAGGTTTTAAAATGTAGTCAAGGAGCAGATGGTGAAAAAAGTAATAGTGGTCTTCAAAAATCTATTGATTAATTTCAATTTTTGAATAAAAATTATACTTTTAAGTACAGAGAGGAATTTCAGAGGCCATGTATGTAGTTTAGTGGTTTTCTGATATTCCTTCCTTTTTTCTTGCCTTCATAATAACTTGCCTAATTTATCATATAACATATAAAAACTTGTTTCAAATGAATAGTATTAATATTACTATTAATAACGAGACTGCTACATGAAATTTGAAATAATTTTGTTCTTTTTGCCCCTAGACTAAATCCTACTAAAAATGTACACTGCACATACTATATTTTACATACAGTTCAGTATATTTGTTTCAGTTTATTTTCATTTTTTATATATTGCTTTTTTTCTTTTTAATTTAGTTTGATTCTTAGGATATGTAAAACATTTACACAGTTCCAAATTCTAAACTATAGAAATCTCACTTCTGTCCTCATCTTTTCTTTGTCTTTAGGTAGCCATTTTTATTGCTTCTTGTATTTTCCATTCAGTGTTAGTTACCTTTCTTTGAACTTAGTAAACATTGTTTAATAATCTATGTTTGATGAATTCTAATATCAGAAGTTTCTGTGTGTCTGTCTCTGTTGCCTCATTTTTCTTCATCATGTTGCTAATTTCTTTGTCTGATTATCTTTGACCATGTGCTGTATGCCTGGAGTAATTTTGTAGAAAGAATCAGAAATTAGAATGATATCTCCCTGCAGAGAGAACTTTTATTTGTTTCTCATGGGTACCTAGGGGTGCTCTTTTTCTTGGACTACCTTAATCCAAGATCCATGCCTGAGATTCCCCAGACATCAGGTGGACAGACTGCGAACGAACTCTTGCCCTGAAAGGATAGCCCTTTAGGTTTCTAGTTTATAGTAGGGGTTGCTTTATGAGTTCCCACTTTTGGCCAACCCTGTGCTTTGACTTTAGTCACCTTAGTCCTTCAAGACTGTAGAAGTGCAGCTCAGTTTTGCAGCTGATTCTTCAAGCTAAGAGTGATTCTGAGTATTAGGTTTACCCCTCTGAGTTCCGTATTCTACATTTTGGCTTAACTTACTGTAGATTTTGCCGTTCTTTACTGTAGTGGTAGCTCTTTGTTACATTTTTTACAAAACTTTTTAAAAAATAAATTTCAAATCTAGAAAAGTAGAGAGAATAGTATAATTAACCTCCATGTACCCATCACCCAGTTTGGTCTCTATTCCCACTGAGTTTTACACCCTCTAACACCCAATCTGGAAGCAAATACCAAATGTTATACAATTTAACTGTGAATGTTTCTTTATATACCCTAAAAAATATGGGCACTTTTATTTTTTTTTCTTTTTTTTTAACAGCTTTGTTAAGATATAATTCAAATACTATGCAATTCACCTATTTAAAGTGTATAGTTCGCTGACACTTTTAGTATATTCGTGGAGCTGTGCATCTATCACCACAATATATTTTAGAATATTTACATTATCCCAAAAAGAAACCCTGTGTCTCTTAGCCATCACTCTAGTCTCCCCATCCCCCCAGTTTTAGGCAAACACTAATCTATATATAGATTTGCTTATTCTGGAAATACGTAAAAATGAGCTCATACTATATATATTTTGTGACTGGTTTCTTTCACCTAGCTTAATGTTTTCAAGGTTTATCTGTGTCATAGCATGTGTCAATACTTCATTTGTTTTTACTTACAAATATTCCTTTGTGTGGATATGCTACATTTTCCTTATCCATTCATCAGTTGATGGACATTTAGGTTATTTCCACTTTCGGGCTATTATGAATTATGCTTCTATAAAGATTTGTGTGCAGCATTTTATGTAGACCTATGTTTTCATTTCTCTTGAGTATATACTTAAGAGGGGGAATGCTAGATCATACGGTATCTCTAGGTTTAACCATTGAAGGAACGTCCAGACTGTTTTCCAGAGTAGCTGCACCATTTTCCACTCCCACCAGCAGTGTGTGAGGGTTCTGTTTTCTCCATATCTTCCCCAAGAATTGTTGTTACCTGTTTGTTTTTTTATATATATTCTAGCCATCCTAGAGGATGTGAAGTGGTATATTGTGGTTTTGATTTGCATTTCCCTAATAGCTGTTGATGTTCAGCATCTTTTCATGTGTTTATTGACCATTTGTACATTTTCTTTGGAAAAAATGTCTATTCAGACCCTTTGTCCATTTTTAATTAGGCTATTTGTGTGTTATTGACTTATAAGAGTCATTTCTATATTCTAGACTCAAGTTGCTTATCAGATAAGGGATTTGCAGAAATCTGTGGGTTGTCTTTTTACTATTTTTGTTGGTTTCTTTTGCAGGACAAAAACTTAATTTTGATGAACTCTAATTTATGAATTTTTTTCTTTTTTTCTTTTTAATGCCTTTTTTGAAGTTTATTGGGGTAACATTGGTTAATACAATTATATAATTTTCAGGTGTACATTATCATTTGACATCTGTATATTGTATTGTGTGTTTACCACCCAAAGTCTCGTTTCCTTCACCTATCATATACTTGATCTTCTTTACCCACTTCACCCTCCCCCTACCCCCTTTAACCATAGATAGATGATTAAAGGGAATTTTTTCTTTTATCACTTGTGCTTTTTTTTAATGCCTCCCCATTTCTTCCTTTTCCCAGACCCTGGCAACCACCATTTTGTTCTCTGCTCCTATGAGCCTGATTATTTTTGTTTCATCATATAAGTGATATCATGTAGTATTTGTCCTTCTGTGTTTTGCTTATTTCACCTAGCAGGATTTCCTTCTTCTTAAAGGCTGCATAATATTCCATTGTGTGTATATACCACATTTTTTCTATTAATTCATCTGTTGATGGATATTTAGGTTGCGTTCATGTTTTAGATATTGTGAATAATGCTACAGTGAACATGGGTATGCAGATACCTCTTCAAGATGCTGATTTTAATTCCTTTGGATTTGAATCTGTACTATATGATCTGTTTTTCATTTTTTTAGACATCTCAATACTGTTTTCCATAGCAATTGCACCGGTTTACATTTCCACTAACAGTACACAGGGTTGCCCTTTCTTCACATCCTGGCCAACATTTGTTATCTTTTTGTTTTTGTTTTTGTTTTTGTTTTTTGATAAAAAATTAACAGGTATAAGGTGACACCTCACTGTGATTTTGATTTGCAGTTCCCTGATGATTAGCAATATTTAGTATCTTTTCATTTATCTGTTAGTCATTTATATGTCTTCTTTGGAGAAATATCTCTTCACTTCTCTTGCCCATTTTTTAATCAAGTTTGTAGTTTTTTTTTTGCTGTTGATTTGTAAGTGTTCCTTATATATTCTGAATATTAACCTTTTATCAGATATATGGTCTGCAAATATTTTTTCTCATTTAGTATGGCTGCCTTTTAATTTTTGTTGATTTTTTTCCTTTGCTATATAGAAGTTTTTTAGTTTGATGTTATCCCACTTGTTTAGTTTTACTTTTGTTTTTTTTTTTTTTTTGTCTGTGCTTTTGGTGTCATGCTCAAGAAATCATTGCCAAGGCCAATGTCCAGAAACCTTTTCCCTTTGTATTCTTCTAGGAGTTTGACAGTTTTAGGTCTTATGTTTAAGTCTTTAGCCCATTTTAAGTTAATTTGTGTGCATGGTGTAAGATAGGGGCTCAATTTCATCCTTTTGCATGTGGATACCCAGTTTTCCCAGCACCATTTATTGAAGAGACTGCCTTTTTGCAATTGTGTATTCTTGGCACTCTTGTAAAAATCAGTTGACCATACATGCAGGAGTATACTTCTGAGCTCTCTATTCTGTTCTGTGGATTTATATCTGTCTTTATACCAGTACTATACTGTTTTGATCACTGTGGCTTTGTTACATATTTTCAAATCAGGAAGTGTAATGCCTCCAGCTTTGTC